ATTGGATCATTGACAGGTCATCTCTTGAACAGAAGGGCATTGCCTTCCTATGGTTGAAGTTCTGTAAATCAGCCTTTCCATCCAAACTCATCCCCGAAACTATAGAGCATATTCTCCTCCAATGCCCGGGGTCAATCTGACTTTGGAGATGGTGGGATAGAATCTGGAATCAAATGAATACTTCTCATCCCTGGCCTTGGGAATGGAAAGCCCTCCTACTGGAATCATGGCATCTGGACCAAGGAGATGATTTCACAATCAACATGTTCTTAATAGGCAGGAGAGCGATCATATGGGCAATTTGGACAAGGTGTACTTTTGAAATGGAGGGTGCACGATTGGACGGGCCAGAATTTACTGAATCAATCAAACAGCAGGTACAAAATGATTTAATGATCAAATGGGAACAAGCTAAGGAAAAAATTCAGCTCCTATCTGATCCAAATGAAATCTGGGTTCACATTAATCAATTTAACAAAAGTTGGCTGGGAGATGACCAGGGGGGCAGGATGGGGAAAGTAATCTGGAAAGGTGGACACGCAAACACCCAAGTATCCTAAAAAAAAATTTTCGGCTTGTCTTTAATAATTGGACTACCATTGACTCCTCTATCCCTCTAAAACCTATGTCTCAATTTCCTGATTTCTTCCCTCCCCCAAGTAACTGTCTTGTGCCAATTGCTTGGTTTGGATAATTAGCTGGTAAAGTGCTTGGGTCTCATGTTTATCTGGCGCCCATTATGGGTGAAGAGGCACTATGCTGGTTCACCTTCTTCTGTTGTTCGAGGTTATCAGAACAATAGTGCATTGATCAGTAGACAGCAGATCAAGAGTGCAGTATTGTTGGCTCATTTTCTGTTCTCAGCAGGAGCCTACTGGTTACCTCCGGGTAGACTGTGAGGACCCCGGCCTCAATCATCATATTGATAATATCAGCCTTGGGCACTGGGCCCTCATTGTTATAAATAAATAAATAAATAAATAAATAAATAAAAAAAAGAAAAAAAAAAAGGAAGTTCTGGCAGAAAAAAAAAAAAAAAAACTAGATTGGGTTAGGATCTTAAGAAAATGACGAACCTTGGAGGAAAGTGATTGGGTAGGGATACAAGGGTGTGAGGATAAGGTTGAAAATGTGGTAGGTCCGGGCGTCCAGACAGGGAGGTGATGGTGAACTTGTTCCAAATCAGAAGAAACAATAGGCTAATTAGGACCTCCCCGGAGGAAACGAGATGATTCAAAGAAGAGGTCTTCCGGATCAGAGTGATTAAGGAAAAGGATCACTGGTGGGCATATAGACTTGATAGGTCAATTGCACAATTGGCTTTTGATACGGCCATGTAGGTCTGGACCACACAGATGAGCAGGGGCAGAATTGGTAAGCAGCAGATCCACTCAATGACAGTAAAGGGACCTTACAAGCTGCTATGCCCAAGGGTGAACCTAAAGGATATCGTGATAGAGTGTTGAATGAGGCACCTCAATTTGGACAGGAATGCGCTCCTATCAGTCAAGTGGTTCAGACTTAGTAATTTAAGCAGTACCAGCCAAGATCGCTTCTCTGCAGTGGCAAGTGGAACACCACTGCCTACCCACAAACGATTGGCTGATAGACCACACTTCCCTGGAACAAAAAGGAAAAGCTCTTCCCTGGTGCAAACTGTGTGTGGCGTCATATCCGGCTAGGCGGAGACCTGAGACAATTGAACACATTTTTCTGCAGTGCCCCGGGTCAGTCTGGTCGTGGAGGTGGTGGGATCGGGTATGGAGGCAATTGGGCACGACCGTTTCCTGGCCATGGAATTGGAAATGAATCCTGTGTGAAACCTGGCAGCCAGAGCAGGCAAGCATCTTCGACAGAAATATGTTTATGATAGGCCCTCGAGCAGTCTTCTGGGCAATCTGGTGGAGAAGATGCACCTCTGAAATGGAAGGAGTAGAAACAATCATTGCAAGCAGAAGATTCAAGCGGACCCTACTATTCAATGGGAAAGAGTAAAAGGAAAAGTGGACTTTTTGCATTCAAGAACAGAAATTATGGCAAATTCAAACTTTTTGGTAAGGACTGGCTGGTGGGAGAACAAGGAGGCTGGATTGCAGAAGTGAAATGGAAAGGGGAGAGGGAGGGGGGGGAGGGGACCAAGGAAAACTTAAAAGGAATTACTGCCTTCAGTTCTACGATTGGACCAGGATTGATCCCGCCATCCCGTTGCAACCCCTTACTTATTTTCCCGATCTCTTGAAAAATCAGGGATGCTGGACCCATTTTCCAGCAGGTGACGCTCCTGCTCAGTTTACAATGGTTGGGGGAGGAACTAGTATGTAGCAGCAGGAATCTGGCGCCGGATTCAGGGTGAAGAGGCTCCCCCCTCTCTCCAGTATGCTGCTCAGTCAATCCCCTGGATCCCAAGGTAATCAATGCTGGCAGGATCCTCCCACAATCTTTTTCTGAAATGCTCCGAATCCAGTCTTTCTATGGGACGATGGACCCGTTTTCCAGCAGGTGCTGCTCCCCATCAATAGACTCGTATTAGACGGAGCTGCTCTCCAGGTGCTAGTGGTGTCTGCTCTTATCAGCACCACTAACACCGGTGGGGGCGTTTTTTGTGAAAAAAAAAAGCAACTGTCTGCTTCATACACTCTTCTGTACACTTTTTCACGTTGTTTTCACAGTCTTTCACACAATGCATCCTTCTGTACACTCTTAAACACATTCTTATGTACATTCCTACACCCACACACTCAAACACATCCATGCTCAATGCCGGACACATGCGACATATGACAGACGCCACCTACACAGATACATTACACAAACATGACACAAACTGGTAGTCGCCTCTACACTGACACAGCTGCACACATTCATACAACTGCACAAACGTATGAGTACTAGGTAGAAACAGCAGGACGAGCAGATAGATAGAAACACGACCGAATTTGTACGAAGCAGTGGGAAACAGTAGGAGCACACTCAGAGCTTCGTCCTCTGATATGTACAAATACACCAAAATTGACCAAATACATAACTCTCATCTGAGAGGGTCGCTACAGAGACAGCAACACGACGAATTTTGTAGGAAACACTAGGAAACAGCAGGAGCACACTCAACTGACATTTTGTTAAAACTGACATTTTTTTCTAAATTCACGAAAGTGGACTTAGTCAAAATTTCATTGCTCATCAGGGGAGAAAGTGGTTATCTCACTTTGTTATGTACCTCAACGGAAAGTACCGTTAATATACATCCGATGGTCAGATCATCGGGAGTCGCCACGACACCCGATGATCTGATCATCCGGCGTCATGGGGACGAAAAAACGCAAAAATGTTGTTTTTTGTTACGCTCAATCTCGTGAATTTAGAAAAAAATGTCAGTTTTAACAAAATGTCAGTTACTCGGGACGACCTCGTCCCCTGATATGTACAAGTACACCAAGCACATAACTCTGGTCTGTATAATAGTATCTATCAATGGGACGCTGGACCCGGTTTCCAGCAGGTGCAGCTCCCCACCAATAGATGGAGCCTTATACACTGGGAGTCATTTAACGAGGATGCTCATATCACCTCGTTAAGTGGGCCACCCGCACCTGAAGTTAAAAAAAAAGAAGAAAAAACAGCTTATAAGTTGACGAATGGTTTCAACACACTCAACATCCCGCAGAGCACACAGCAGAGGAAGGAGGACAAAAGCAAAAAAAAAAAGAAAGAAAAAACAAACGAGCACACAGTAGGAGGGAGGAAGAAGATGACACAATGTCCCGCACGCAACTTGGAATTAACGACGAACGTGAAGAACAGACATGATGGCGAAAACGAGTTCTGGCCCGGCGGTTGACCCTACTACTACAGTCTTCCCCCGAATACAACGTACGGTCATTATAGCTGTATCTAGACTGAAAGATGCCTCAAATACAGCTATAATGACCGTGCGTTGTATTCCGGGGAAGACTGTAGTTTCACCTGGCCGCCCATCAGGGGTCTACAACAATCTGGAATTTTTTTAAAAGGAAAAAAGAAAAAAGAATTCCTCACAGAATCGGAGATGAGAAAGAAAACAGCAGAATCAGACTAACTTAAGGCACTTCCCTCAAAAACCAGGTTAAAACAGGAGAATCAGACTAAAGCACTTCCCTCAAAAGCCAATCTCTACCCCCCTCGAAAAAGAACCCTCCCGTACAAGGGAGGTGAAGGAGAAGAGGTAAAAACAAAAAAGATGACGTGACACCCCTTCAGGTGGGACGGGCTTGGGAACTCCGTCAGCTTTTCAGTGCATCCAAAAGAGGTTCTTTTTTTTGTTATCTCCCATACACCCAAGTGACATTCTGGGGCTCATCTGCCCAAGTATATATATATCGTCAGACTGTTGAGGGTTCAGCCTCCTGATGAGTCGGTGAAACTCCGACGAAACAGTTTGTCACAGCCCCTCGTTTGTTGTCCTCTTCTCACTCTCTGCCTACGGTTTACCGGGCAGTTCTATTTGAAGATATATATATATATATGAAGATATATGACGATATATATACGATATATATTTGTGACGATATATATATATATATGTATTTTATGATCAAATTAGCACTCTGCCTAGAGCGACTCCCCATGTAACAGCCAAAACTTGCACAGAGAATGAGCATGGCACGGATTAAAAAAAAATCAGAAAAAAAGAGAAAATCGTACAGCAGAAAAAAAAAAAAAAAAAAAAAAAAAAAAAAAAAAAAAAAAAAAAAAAAAAAAAAAAAAAAAAAAAAAGGTCCACATGTAACAGCCAAAACTTGCACAGAGAATGAACATGGCACGGATATATTTACCCATGAAAAACTTTCAGAAAACACGAGAAAATCGTACACAGCTCTCCAAAGCTGAAACAACCGGTCTCGAGAGCCTCGGGCAATCAACCGTCATCGGAGATCATGGTCGTCATTCGTACTTCATCGAACACTCCTGACCTGCATCCCCTTTTTTAGCATAACCTACGGCTCTGTGGATGCAAGACTGCAGCTAAACTTGCTGCTAGAGTCATTGCAGAGCTCCACGGACATAGCACGGACATAGCACGGACATAGCACCGACATAGCACGGACATAGCACCGACATAGCACCCACATAGCACAGAGATGGGACAAGTAGCGCCCGGCCAGGAGCCACGAGAACAGATCATCTCAGTGAGGTGGGTGCCGAAAACGAATCTCAAGCCCATGAACGACTGAGGAAGGCAAGGGTGTGCGTGCGTTCCCAGCTGAGCTGGCAAAAAACTAATCACGAATTAGAACAAAATTCAATAAAACCAGAATGCCAGTCTCAAAGTAGGAACAATCTCCCAACAAAAAAAAAAAAAAAAAAGTAGGGCCAATCGAGGAGACAAGGGCCCAGTGAGAGACAGACTGGAAAATTAAAAGAGGCAAGCAAGGACAAATTTGAAATTCGAGAAGGGCAAGGGAAGAACTCGAACGAAGGCCCTCATATTCAGACCACGAACGAAACAGTCACGACAACTCACTTGCACCCCTCCCTCACTCTTCTCCATTCTCGTTCTTTTTGTCCTTTTTCAAATAGGAAGCAGACCAAAACATTATTGCATCTATCCTTGAGGATTTTTCAAGCATGCGAGTCCCGAGGATCATCTGTCACAGGAGTGAACCATCCCCTCGGCACAAGGCCAGTGGCCCTCTCCTTGGTCTTTCAGGGGCTACCTTGGCCAAAGAGTTTTCCAATCAAAGCCATACCCATGGCAGATGTTTCGTCCGCGGAATCGCCAGCAGCACTGGGGGGCGGTGCAGCGTAATTTACGGCAGAGCATGTGGGGTCGGTGACCGGCTCCCCAGCTACGGCAAGCGATCGGGTGCCCTTGATGGAGGCGGCACACTGCTCGGGAACGGCGATGGGGTCACAGCAGAGAGGAGCAGCAGGGAAACTCGTCTCTGGCAGACCCATGTAACAAGCCTGGAAATCACCCTTCTTCACAACACGGAAAGTGACCGTCTTGTGGCCACCCATAGGACCCACAGGAAGAGAGAACTTAGTGAGTCCAATGAACATGCTGAGCATGGATGGCCCACCGGGAATGCGATCGCGAAGGGCTCCCACAGGGGGAGGGAACTCTACGGAGCCGCAGCTGTTGTACAGATCCACCATCACGTCCTCGCAGATATAAACAGTCCCAGAACGGTCAGCGTTGACCTCGATGAAATTTCCAGATGTCGGGTCGCAGCTAATTGCGCAGCCGAAGGCTTCGACCAAGGCCTGGCAGCGGTGATAACCGGCCAGGTAAGAGCAGACCTGTCACCGATAAATGGCAAGGCAACAGGCAGGCAGACAAGGAAGATAGGCACACCATGATGACATCAGTACTTATATGATGTGAGGGGCACTGCGGCCCGGTTTCCAGCAGGTGACGCTCCCCACCACTAGATCATGGAGCCTCCAACAAAGGGACCACTTCAAATTAGGAGGATGCTCTTATCACCCCCTCAAGTGCCATCCTGCTCAGAGTTCTTTTGATAAGTTAATAAATTAATAAATTAATAAATTAATAAATTAATAAATTAATAATAAATAAATAAATAAATAAACAAATAAATAAATGATGTGAGGGACACTGGGCATGGTTCCCAATAGTATAATAACTTAATAAAACATCAGCACACAATCACTTTAGCCAATGACAATGACCCCACATTCCCATTACATTTTTTTGTGGTTTTCTCCCGTTTTCGTACATCACAATTGTTTCTTGCCTTTTTTTTTCTGTCTTTAATGTAACGGTGGCCCGATGGACCACAGATCACATAGCAAACTGATTAGAAAAGAGGCTGCATCTGATCTAATTAGGCAACTGGCCGGGGCTAAGGACCTAATTGCATCACTGGCCATTTTTCTCCAAAACCGTGCATGCATCGGGTCAAATACCACAGCACAGATGCATTCAAAATACCAGGCTGGCCAGTGGTGCAACTAGGGGCAATTTGAAAGTCCAACCAAAAAAAAGGGGGGCCCCCATTCTATTGGTGGGGAGCTGCAGGGACGCTGGAGGGGTGCGGACTTGGTTTCCAGTACGCACCAATTCCTGCCATCTGATATGAACATCTCAAGTGCAGACTTTCCTAGAACAAGTATGTCAACTTCAGGCCTACGGTCTTCCCCCGAACACAACGCACCCTTATTTTGGCTGCATCTGGCCGGAAATATAGCTTGTATACATTCATTTTTAGGGTGCGTTATGCTCGGGGGAAGACGGTTGGCCGGGGTCACAGATACCCAACCGGCTTCTCAGGTAGAAGTAGGAACACACCGTCATAATGATCACAGCTGTACTTTGGGCAACTTTCAGTCTAGATACAGGGATAATGACCTGAGGCGGGGAACTTTCAGTCATAGATTCAGAGGACTAAGGGTGGGATATAGCTCATACTCATATAGCTGGTACTCATATAGCTGGTACTCATATAGCTACTCAAATAGCTCATACTTACTGACCCATTGGGTAGTTTGAGCAATGAGAGACGGAAGAGATGGAACGCCTCCATGGTGTGTGTGTTCAGGGGCAAGCAAACTACCGTCTTCCCCCAAATAGAACGCCCAGTCATTGTAGCTGCATTCGGACCAACTGTCAGTCTGGATACAGCAATCCGTCTGAAGACCGCAGGTAGGTGGTCAAAGGGAAACCCGAAAAAAGAGCTGCCGAACATCTCTCAGAAAGATACTTGTGGATTCAAATATGAGTAGGACGTATTTAAACGTTCAAACGGATTACTGGGGCCTAAATCTGGGAGAGAACTAGCATAACTGACGCCCTCATAGATAGGCATCAGAGCTGGCAAACATCTCTCAGAGAGAGATAAATGTCCAGAAATTTATAATTAACCAATGAAAGGATTTAAAAAAAAAACAAAAAAAAAAACGATCTGTGGAAACAGCCCAGATCGCTGAGGCAGTGACCGGTCGTTTCATTCGTCAGCATTTTCTAAGAAGAAGCATAAACATTTTTGAAGAAGAACAAGCACCTTCTCCATCCAGCTGGAGTAGCTCAGTTGGTTAGAGCGTGTGGCTGTTAACCACAAGGTCGGAGGTTCAAGCCCTCCCTCTAGCGTTCTCTCTGGCATTGTCTCTAGTAATCCTTACACCTCGTGGCTGATATTAACCACGAATGACCAGTTAACCTCCACAAAATCGGAGGAGCTTGTTTCTAGAGAATGCGGTTCGGAGGACCTTGTTTCTAGAGAATGAGGTTCAAGCCATGCAGCTGATGTTTCTAAACCTCTCAATGTCTTTTCTTATCGACGACTTGTCCAGCACACGAAGATGAACGCCTAATTAAGAGTACTTCACTTTCCATTCAGTTGGAGTATCTCAGTTGGTTAGAGCGTGTGGCTGGTAACCACAAGGTCGGAGGTTCAAGCCCTCCCTCTAGCGTTCCGTCCAGTATTAGCCCTCCCTCTAGTGTTCCATCCAGTATTGCGTCCAGTAATCCCTGTAACTAGTGGCCGGTAGTCCGGTTCTACCGCGCACTGCCAGTGGGAAGTTAGCTGATGTTTCTAAGCCTCTCAACATATTTTCCTATCGACGACTTGTCAAACACAAGCAAGCGCCAAGCTGCACATCTAGTTAAGGTAGCTCAGCTGGTAGAGGATGTGGTTAACCAGGCAAGCACGCAGCACATCTAGTCGGGGCCGCTCAGGTGGTAAACCATGTCGCTAATCACGAAGTCAGAGCTCAAGCCTTGCGTCTAATATTTTCACCTCTCAAACACAAGCGACCTTAACATCCAGTTGGCCATGTGGCTGTTAACCACAAGGCTTCATGCCTTCCCTCTACCGTCCCTGTAAGGAGTTGCACATCTAGCTGGGAACATGGGATAGCCCAGTTGGTAAAGGATGTGGCTGTTAACCACGAGGGTTCAAGTCTTCCATCTAGTGGTCCTTTCAAGAGCTTTTACTAAGCTTTAACACTTGTGTGAGCTTGCTAGAGGTTTTTAGAGCATGCGGGTGGTACCCATGAAGTCAGAGGTCCAAGCCATCCATCTAGCGCTTATACTCCCTCAGGAATTGTTGACTGAGAGATTATGGCCTCAGGAATTGTTGATTAAGAGAATCAAAAGAGATTACCAAGAAACACTCCATTCCTGCACAAATACTCAATTTTTGCACTTTTAAAAAAAATCCTGCAGTACCTGTACATTATTTTCATTTTTTTTCTGTTCTTTCTATACTCTTCTCTCAACTTCTGTTTCCTTTACCTTCCATTACCTACTCCTAAGACTATCTAGAGGGGTCCCCTGCAAGCATAGTTTTTCCTCTCTCTGTGAAGGGGAGATTTCATGTTGCCCCTTGCCCCTAATGGTTAGGGTATAGGGTTGGGGCCGCCAGTGGGGGTCTGGCTAACACAAAGACCGAGACCTGCCAGTAGYTGTGCCTCCCTTTCTCATCGTCCCCCACCCTTCATCGAGTAGCAGCAGAGGCTATGGCCAACACTCTCCCACACACCACACACAACCCACTCGCGCTCACACTCACACCCGTGTTGGTCAAAGACCCCGCTAATACCGATCAGGGGTATCCAGAGGACTATCACAGTCCATTGGCACTAAGTGCACCACAGGCGGCCATGGGGCCTGAACCCACAACCTCCTGAATGCCACTTGCATGCCTACATTATTTTTAGTACTTTTTACAAATACTCAATTTTTGCAGACAACAAACACGTGTAGTAGTTTACAACTTTACAAATACTCCATCTTTGCAGAGAACAAACACACAAATGTAGAGACACGATGTAGATTGAGATGCAAGATAACACCCCTGACAACACCCCTCTAGCTTTGTCTTCAGTACCTACACAACGTATGCCCTCAGCAATTGTTGATTAAACCGCCAGACTGAGTACCTTTCCGCACTTGGAAACCAAAGGCCCGGTGGTTAACACAGAGGCTCGATTCAGCCTCCAGCGCCGGCCAGATACATCGGCCGCGCTTGGCACGGACGGCCCGCGGCCCATGTATCAGAAAGGTATTGGCGGCTTAAAGAGGTTACAAGTACTCAATTCTCTATTCTTCTTCTTCAGTACGGTACAGTACTTGTTCTTTGTACAACGACAATGATCGGGCAACGTGGTCCTCGTTCAACACCCCAACCACGAACGTGATGTGGTAGGTGGTCTTTGACAAATATTACAAAATCTACCTCTGTAGGGGCAGAAAAAGGCAAAAGTAAAGATATCTGTCCCCTACAGAGAAGATTAGTGTCCCCTGACAGGCTTCGGCAGTGCGAGCGACCCACCTTTGCAAGCCTTAGGAGGACATGCATGAATCGAGATATGGTCCCGAATTCCAAACTGAAAACGATTCTATAGTTTTGGTTCCCTCGTACTCTTAGAGAGCTTCCCATAACTACTCGACAATGTGTGCTGGAGTAGCTCAGTTGGTTAGAGCGTGTGGCTGTTAACCACAAGGTCGGAGGTTCAAGCCCTCCCTCTAGCGATGATTTTGACCGTAATATTTCCGGATATTATATGAGACAGCAGATTATTTGAACTTTCGGAAAAATATATTTTCGACATATAAAGAAAGTAAATGTAGCAGAATGTTTGTTGAATGGCTTAATCTCTGAAAAACAGGAGGTGGAGTTAAACTGTTGATTATATATTGTGGCTGTTAACCGCAAGATCGGAGGTTCAAGCCCTCCCTCTACCAATCATTCTGATCTTTTTTTTTTTGTTTTTTTTTTTTTGTTTTGTTTAACAAAAGCTTCAATCTATTTGTGGGGAGCAGCTCGTGCTGTAAACCGGGTCCAGCAATCATTCTGATCTTGAATTTACGAAATAACATTTTCGGATATTGTATAAGACAGCAGATTATTCGAACTTCCAATAAATGATCCTTTCCGACAGATAACGAAATTAAATGCGGCGAGAATTTTTACGCAGCTTAATCGTGACAACATGTGTGCTGGAGTAGCTCAGTTGGTTAGAGCGTGTGGCTGTTAACCACAAGGTCGGAGGTTCAAGCCCTCCCTCTAGCGATCAGTTTATTTTGACCATGATCTTTTCGGATTACATAACACGAAACATTATTTGAACTTCCGACATTACGTATTTGGCGTCCAGGTTAACCCCTGAAAAACGTGTGCTGGAGTAGCTCAGTTGGTTAGAGCGTGTGGCTGTTAACCACAAGGTCGGAGGTTCAAGCCCTCCCTCTAGCGATCGGTCTGACCTTGAATTTGCAAAATAATATTTTCGAATATCATATACAGCANCACAAGGTCGGAGGTTCAAGCCCTCCCTCT